TTTTGTTATCAGTTTTTAGTCGATTCAATAACTTCAAAAAAATCTCTGGGTGGAATTTAACATTAAGACTACAAAGGTATGACCCGTTATTACAGTACATAACAGACATCATTGTTGGTTTTTTAACAGTACAGTCTGAAGAAGTATTGTGTATCACACCCTATTAACCTTGGACTAGTTTCAAACCAACACATGTGGATGACTATATAGCTCAGATTTAAAATGGGTAATGATACCGAAAAATTGGCTTTTCTTGAACACAACTTCCCAGGTAAAACATGCCGAAGCTGATTTAACACTGTTGTAAAAGATTAAAAATACTATCGTTCTCGGACAACCACAGATGAAATCAGGCGTAAATAAAAAAAGTTAGGCGATGTCATCTTGCAAAACTGGTTTTATCTTAATTTTATAAAATCAAAATAACCATACATCAATTTTGAAGACATTTTGGCATGACTATACATTACATCAAAATACCATAGGTATACTACTTCCTTAACAAGCCTTAATTCTCAGGCATAACAAGACAGTAATAGGAAACCTTGTCCTGTAATATCACTTAACATCCGTATATCTCCAGCCCCTTCAACAATCATAGCATACATTAAAACAACTGTATTGACCTGTGTCGTTGTGTGAAAGTGTGGAACACTGAACTATTCGTGTATATATATTTATATGAAAGTAGGCAAAACGTTTATATCTCTAAATTTACATTATTTAAAGTTAAAAGGTAGTTACAGCTAAGAAATAAACCTGATCATCCTAGGTACTAAGGAAGAAATTCTTGTTTACATCAAATTTATAGTTAGTATATCACCCTGCTTCACATTAGCCAGCTGTACAGGCAAATATTCAAATTCAAGAATTTTTATGGGTTGTTAAAAGTCATTTGAAAATTTAAATATACTTCACTAACCAGTAAACCTCGAGGCAATTTTCATCTGATAATTAATATATGAAAGATAATTCACACTTTAATTCACAACAACCTTATATTTAGCACTCATGTCGGCCCAGATTGAAGCACGGGAGACAATTAATTGAGACAGGAAACTGAAGAACCTAGGAAAACCCACCTCATTGGGCAAGTGATCCCCTTTTCACTTTTGGGGAATCAAACCTTGGTTGTCAAGGTGATGGAGATGAGACCGATACCACTGCCCCATCCAACAACCTACTGATAGAAGTATTTTATTGTTTATAAAATGATAATCTAAGTACAATCTTCAAATTTTAAATCTAAAAAACAAACAAGAGGATAGTGGCAGCAGTTTTATATTTTTGTCTTTAGTGTACATTGTCATCAAAATAAATATAACTTTCCATCCCCAAGTCAAATAATAGACTACTTTCTTTGATGTTCAGTGGTTGTTGATGAACAGCCAAGTCCTTGTTGGTATAGAAGATACCAGTCTCTGTACCTATTTTTGTAAGTGTAAATGGTTTAAATCATACCTACATTACATATGTATATGGTATTTGTACTCTTGGATATCTCAAACCATTGTATGCAATTAGTTTTCATTGACAGGGATTAGGTTCAAAGTCACTTTTGGGGGAGAAGAGAAGGGAAAATGAAGTATGTTAATAATGTCCTGGACCATTAACATGTCATCTCCAAGTTAAATCATATTTACAATCTATAGTTTTATACAAATTTCAAAATTTATTTCAAAATCTAATTAAAATTACATCAACTAGATTATGTAAACAATTATATGCATATGTATCAAGGAGGGTTTTGAATTGGTCAAGTTGACAAGGCATGTTACAGCTGAACAAACCTTAGTCATCAGGACGATACATGATACAACTTAAGTAAGGGCGAGGTCTCATATGTACACATTTGATACAGGTTACTGCTCAAAGTCACCATAATCATGCCATCAGTTACTATGGAAATGAATTTGAGACCCCTGAAATGAATGGTGGTCTAATTTAGTAATTATTACACTGACATCAGCTCATTTGTTTTTTATTTGCTACATTTCCCCCAATGGTGGAGTCATACAAAATTTAAGTACAAAGTGAAAAACAACTATTATTAATACTTTTATTACATAAATACAACAGGGGTTCTGTACTACATCAGTTGGTAATGTTTTCATGCGTATCTGTAAGCAGAGACGTCTCTGCTGTAAGGTAATGCCTATTTTTTCCGTGTCAGAAATTTTAATGTCTGCATGTAAAAATACTATTCTTAACGTAAAAAAAACTTACACGGATCTTAAATTTATTTTTCAAAAGATCAAGACAGAGTTTGGGGTATTTAGTAATACTAATGTGGATCATTATCACTTGACTGAACAAGTCAACGGTCGCATATTAAAGCTATGCCTCAGGCCCAGTGCTGGTTTTTTCTGTCCATAGTTTTACGTGTGTAACACTTGTAGAGCATTTAAAACCAATACATGCAATTATTATAGAACTAAGTGAAATTTTGATAAAGCACATGTGTATGAAAATACTGTTGCTGGAAGCGTCGACATTAGATTCAGTGCAATAACGCGTTATTTGTAACTTTCAATTTCACTTTTTTTTTTCACGCTCTAAATCATTCTGTTGTTTACAATCTGAATGCTACAAGTAATTTGTCTGTCACTTACCTGGCTTTGCTGTGTGTCACGAATGTAATCCTGTTCAAAACAGTAACAAAGCAACTATTCTAATAACTCATATTTCCGACAAGTGGGCCGGCTTTCCTGGAGCGTCCTGACACATGTGTGGGGTAAATATTTGGGCAGGGCCCCATAGCAGACCGCACTTCCTACTTCGAGAACTCTCGCGAGATCACATCTAAAGTATGGCGCCCGATTTGAAGCAGTAACTACAGTTTCTGATTTCGTGGAAAATCTACACGAGTATACAGGTAAACTTATTCAAATGTAAAACAGAAATAATTTGGAACGTGAACGTAGACTTTTTTCTCAGTCATTCAAACAGACTATGATCACTTGTAACACTTAAACTGGTGCAACATAACCAGAGAACTTTCTTTCAAATAGTAACCCGTAACAAGGGTTGTAAAGTTGATAAAAAAAACTGTCTAAATTGTCACAGCAGTTACCTGTATATTACTTTTCACTCTATCTGCGTGATGATCTGCTCTACTCTAGTCGTGATTCTTAATCGTAAAATTATGTAATGCGTTCTAACCGCTGTCTTGCTGCCCATGTAGGCCTATTGCACATTTTCAAATTTTAAAAACTAAAATTTACATCAGTAAAACGCAAAGTACATTATACGATGAAAAAGGTTCCTTCCTACAACTCGCCTATGGAAAAAAAACATATATTGTGAAGGAAATGATTAAAGTGGAAGCATTGAAAATTAAGGTATTCGAAATTATCAATTTCTGGTGATGCTCACGAAGGGATAAATACAAGTCGTTACTTTCACAAGCATCGCTGTTGCACCAGAAGACTAGAAGATGAATTAAAGTATATGTGTCTGGTAAAAACAACGACTAACTTCTTCCAACTGAGACTTGACTTTAAAGGAATTTCACTTTATCTCTATTAGTACAGTATAACTACATAAAGACTTGTAGTCTACGAGTAACCCAGAGGGCCATGGTTGAAATTGGCAAGGGTTTGAATAAAATCATTACCTCTGTTAGATATTATATATCATAAACATCAAGATATGATAGACCAGTTTGGAGTTCTTAATAGAGGATCAATTCTCTGTGAAATTTGTACCATCAGGTTATAGAGTGATGTGCAGCAACAGGGTTCAGTCAGGTAACATAATAATGGGCCAGTGACACAGCATTAGTTGACTAATCAGAGCTCTAGTTGTTAACAAAATGCCCAGTTATGCATCTGCTTCAAATAAATCAAACAGGTCTGAAGTATTTGTCGACCTTCATTCTGTCTTGTCAGTGAATTTTGGGTCTAAGATACTGAATTTACAATCACATGCTTTTTTTGGGACACCCAATCTAATTTTAAGACTTTTAATATTGAGCCATGTCAGAATTTTGGAATTGTTTTTCAGGAGTCACCGTAACAATTCTTCAAGAAATATATTTGATTTATGATAATAAATTGTGTTATTCTGTTTCAAAATATAACTGTCCTAACATATTACCATCTAGCTTATGCTGGTTGAGGCATGATATGTTTGTTGTTAAAGTGTTGGCCTATGCATCTTCAGATGAAGATCGGAGGTGTGTGGTTCATCTCTCCCTTTTTGTGTCAGTTGAAAACACAAATTTGTCCGTGATGTGGTTGTGTCCTTGAGCAAGGTGCTTTACTACAATGGCACATAATGGACCTCTGGTATGTTGTTGAGTTTAGTCACTAGCTAATACCAGGAGATCTAGCCTTTTATTGACCTTTGGTTAATCTAGACTTTTGGTAATACTACCCATCGTGGAAAAAGGCTATCAACAGTCTTTTATGAGAAATTGAGGTATCTCAGATAACCCTTTTGGTCTGAATTCATAAGTGGAAAAGGGTAAAAATATATAATTAAAAAGTGGAAAAGTGTAAAAATATATTACATAGATAACGATAACATGGATAGAATATGACAATATTGAAGTTAGATTGGTATTTCTTTTTCATGATGGCATGACTTGAAAATATAATACATACAATATATTAATTACTTGGGAGTTTTTTTTATAGTTGGGAGATTTCCCTGGTTTCAGTATATTTTCATAATGGGGAACTGGTTTATATTCAGTAGTAGAAACGTACCACTTGGTAAATACTACCGTTTTCTGGTAGTAAAATTTGTGTAGATAAATCCCTGATTACCCAACTGTTGACATGGTAATAAACGTAGTAGAAAGACCTTCATGTTCTCTGTCATCAAACATAACGTGATGCAATTAGAGAAAAGAGTGTAGTTAAAACCACCTTAAACATACCAGGCATATCTGATTATGATGGGGAGACTTTTTTTAACAAAGATTAATGATCACTCTCATGTATATTTAATGAAAATTAAATGGAATTAATACTTGCTTTATTTTTTTATTTTAGAAATGAATAAAAGGGAAGAATTACTGTCTATTGTTGACGATGGAAACCTGCAGCAGTTTGTCAAGTTTATCCAGACTGTAAGACTACTCTCATGGTTTAATTAGCTTTGATTCTATTTCTTTATAGATACAAATCTGTAAGTCTATTTAAGTCATGATTAGTATGGCCCAATCTTGTGATTTTTTTTTCTCTCAGATGTTATGTCTATGAAGATAGAGTTTCGTGACATTATGGAACCTTCAGTCCAAAAAATACACTCTTTAAGATTAAAACTCAGTGATAGATATAAAAGATAGTAAACTTTTTCAAAATATGGCTTTCTGTTATACCGACAATGTCATCAGAAATCTCAACTTTGTTTCAATTCTGACAAAATTTGACTACAGCATGTAAAAGCTACATTTGACACTAGTATTTATCAGATGGTGCCCTAGGGGCTTTGACCAACACTTGTACAAAATACTCAAACCAATTTGACTCAATTCATTAACATTCAGTATTACATTTTCTTTAAATAGTTGAAATCTGAAGGAGTAGACTTGGTGGAAATTTTGAGCGGCTGTAGTAAGAAACAGCTGGACAAGCTGTGGGAAGGAGTACAGCAAACATGTGCTGTAACCATGCTGAGTTTAGAGACTGGCGACGATGGCAACGACGATCGTCTAGAGCAGGTAGGTAATTGTGGTCAGTCCTACATGAGGAATGTGACACTGCATTCGTCCGCAGCAAGAAGACAGTTGTAACTGAGTGTCTAGACAGACTTGAGTTATGTGTCACAAACAGGAAGTTTGATGGTTAGGACTACAGCGGTCTAGTAGGTGTAAGTAGTAGTTCTAGACAAAGTTTGGACAAGCGTTGGTCAATGAGACAAACCACAAACAGTGGATTGGTACTGGTCATTATACTTTATGATATGTTATTGTTATTATTGGATCTGTGAAGATAGATTTTTTTACATGTCGTTATGGTTGTAGGAGATGATGAAGATCCTGGAGGTGCTTCAGTGTGTTGTCGACTTAGCATCAGCAGCTATACAACAGGAGGAACCTCACATCTCCCCATGTTTAAAGTCAACAGCAGTACTTTTACTTGGTAAATATGGATGGACACAGTGAGATTCTAAATCATTTCCACTTGGAGTTTCAAACAAATCTATGGGGAAAGCAAAGTTATCAGTGTCAAAATGACTAAAACATTAGTTTCAACACTTGTTTTAGCTCACCTGCCAGAAAGGAATGTGAGTTTAAGTCATAGCACTGCATCCAAGGCCTGGTCTTTAATTTTTTCTCAATGAATATAATGCTCTTAGCAATGATATTGGGACTTTTACATGCTGGGATGAAGGACTACAAAGTTTGTGTAAATGAATGACCTTGACCAATTTTTGAGGTCACAGAAGTCAAATGTGTTGAAATATTTAAAAAAAAATTCTTGATAACCAACAACCTAAGATACTGATATTGAGTCTGTAGCATGCTGAGATAAACAGCTACCAAGTATTTGAAAATGAATTACCTTGACCCCATTCAAGGCTCAGGGATCAAATGTGTTAAAATCTTTGAACAACTTCTTCTTAATAACCAAAAGGTTTGTTGTCATGATGTTGAGCATGTATCATGCAATTTGTCCAGATGAATGATCATGGCCCACTTTCAAGGTTATAATCTTTAAGCAGGTTTTTTTTTCAAAAACTGTGATTTATCATATGGACAAAGAGGTATGATTGCACCTCCTTGTTCATATGTCAATGTTATGAATAATCAGCCTGCATACAAATCTGATACACCATCACGAAGAAGCTAGGCATGAAGAAGCTAGGCACGAAGAAGCTAGGCACGAAGAAGCTAGGCACGAAGAAGCTAGGCATGAAGAAGCTAGGTGTTAGCTGTTTTCCCTGATTTTCTGGATTATCATTATTATATATACATTTTTCTGCATCCTGTCAAATCAGGTAGTTCATTAGAGCTGAGAAGTATTGGACAAAATTATCCAAAACCAAAGAACATTAAACAAGTGAAAAAGGCCAAATACCAAAGTCAAAGCACTCACTTATTCAGTTTAAAATAAATTGGCCATGATGAGAATTTTTGGTCAGGTTGTGGGGAAAAGGGGTACCAGTTTTGTAGAATCAACTCCTAGAGTTTTTGACATATAAGCTTGAAACTTTGTACGATGTTGGTATATATGTTGCAGATGTGCACCTTGTATTATGGATTCATTCCAGACATTTTTCTGTATTTTCGGGGCTTTGGAACTTAGTTATTTTCCGCAGTTTGGCAGGGAAAAGGGGTACCAGCTTTGTAGAATCAACTTCTAGAGTTTTTGACGTAGAAGCTTAAAACTATGTAGGATGTTTATATATATGTAGAAGATGTGCTCAACAAATGAAACACCCTTAACTGTCCTGTAAATACCATATAACATTGCACTCATCCCACAACCCGGCTGATTGTGGCTTTGCCCCATTTTTAATACATATTTGAATATATGTTGAATTTTATAACTTCCAGGGTCATAATTATAGTCCAGTAGATTGTTGGAATGAAGTGTTGCCAGGTTTGTTCAAATGAATGACCTTAACTCACTTTCAAGGTCACATAGGTCAGATTTGTCGGGAAATTTTATGCTTCTCTTCAATAATCATATTTATAGGTTTACTCTTGCCTATGCCTGAGACTGCCGACAGACTTAAGAATGACATCTGTGTGTTGTGTGAGAATTGGTGGCAAAAGAAACTGTTTGGAAAGGAGGACCTAATAACCAATGCCCTCCTCTACCTGTTACAGCGCAGCCTTAATCTTCAAACCGTAAGTTTTCATATTCCTGACAGATGATAAAGCCATCTTGTTAAGGTGTTACAATTTTTATTTTTTCCTCAGTAGGAGATAGGAAGTAAGACAAAGGTGTGATTAATTTTACCTCTCCCTCCCTAATATTCCACTCATAAGTAGTGGTAATTAAACTCTGGGCATCTTGGTTCCTGACCCGAATTTTTTTTTTTACTTTTGTGGACTGCCAGTTTTAGTTAAATACATGGTCAGCAGAGATTTGTCCCTGGAATGTATAGTGATTATTATGTTTGTATGTGGTAATAATGATGTCTGACATGGTCAATGTATTGTATAGTGATTATTATGTTTGTATGTGGTAATAATGATGTCTGACATGGTCAGTAGAGATTTGTCCCTGGAATGTATAGTGATTATTATGTTTGTATGTGGTAATAATGATGTCTGACATGGTCAGTAGAGATTTGTCCCTGGAATGTATAGTGATTATTATGTTTGTATGTGGTAATAATGATGTCTGACATGGTCAGTAGAAATTTGTCCCTGGAATGTATAGTGATTATTATGTTTGTATGTGGTAATAATGATGTCTGACATGGTCAGTAGAAATTTGTCCCTGGAATGTATAGTGATTATTATGTTTGTATGTGGTAATAATGATGTCTGACATGTCTTGTAGGTTTTAGTAAAATCATGATCACAATAGTTTATCTATTTATCTTTAGATACTAGAAAATAAAGTACATTGTCTTGTGTTAACATCCGCACTACAGTATTATTGAAACAAGTCTCGGTGAATTTACAAGCATTTTATATCAGCAGTAAATGTTTTTGTTTAACATATATGAATGTAAGCCACATACAAGAGTCTTGATGAACTTTAAATCAAATCAACTTACCAATGACCAGAAATAATGCTGAGGAAATCTGTTCTATCTTTGCTCAGGTAGCATGTTTTCTGATTTGTGGCATTCGGGGTATCATGGATCCACTCTACAGTAATCTCTTTGTCTGTACACTTGTCCATTTGTCCATCTATAGCATCTGTCCATTCATTTGTCCATAACACAAAGCGTGTGTAGATGATACCTTATGAATCCTTCACCATGTGTATTTCTTATCTTTGTAGAAAAAAGAACTTAAACGATTATGGTCTTTACATAGTGCCCTGTCACTCATCAATATATCCGACGCCAGCAGTGATATGCTTCGTGACCTATTGTGTCAGTGTGTTATCAGCACATCTTTTGTGAAATATGATGAGGTAAGCTAGCAGATATTAAAATTACTCACAGCATTTATATCTAGTGCAGCCTTGTTGGTTAAGTGTTGCTTAACATTATAACTACAGGTATGGTTATATAAGGACAAATGTTCTGTAAATTGTCTAAATTGATAACAATAAGACCGTTTAATTCTGTAGAACTTTTACATTATGTAGGGGGTTCGTTTCCTTGGCTGTGTTATGAGTCTGGACCCGAACTTGACAGATTGTTTACACAAGATCATCAAGAATCACATGCCAATATCAAACAGGTAGCCTCAGTCTCTACAACAATCAGTCTCTACAACAATCCCAACATTTCTGAACTTTTATTGTCAGATCAAATGTCAGTTTAGTGGTAAACCTGTGAACTCAAATTTTATTGGAAAGAAAATTGTGTTAGTCGTGGTTGTCTGTCCTATCTTGTCCAGTTCTAAATCAATGACAAATGTGGAGAAGTTTCCGACAGATTTTTACTTATTTACCCCATAATGTAATAACATTAACATTTCCTGGTCAGATAATTTGGTTTATATGAGAAAAGGGACATTCAATTTTCATGTCTTATAGGCATTTTCTGTGCTTTTTTTTGTACAGGAATATAATGGAAAGATATGGAGAAATCTACTTCAGAGCCTGGCAAACAGCCACTGGTGCTGTGTTAGAGGTAAGACTACTGAGCCAATAATTCCTGTCATATTTATCCAGCAATGAACCCCACTTAGTTGTACTGCTGTTGCCCAAAGTTGCTAGAACACTATTTTTTAGGAAGCACTAAGGGACTTTCAGAAATTTCATATGTAAATTTTCCTCGGTGCGTTATCGTCCTTATTAAGTTTTGAGACCGATCAGAATGTAAGGATTGTATGAAAAATAATAAAGATCACACGCTGAAGGGTGCTAAAATCCCTCTGATCTCTTGTCTTAACATTTTGCCTTTTGGTTTGTAGAAGTTGGAATCTGCCATACAAAATTTTATGGATCATGCTGTTCATGCTAGGAAGTGTTTAGCACCTGGCCTGCGATGTGTAAGTAGTTTTTTTAATGCCAACAAGCACCCTTATAAAAAAATTCATATTGCCAAAAGTCAACCAGGTTGAGAACAAACTAATTAAAAAAATAAACAAAAAAGTAATATAGCAGTATCTTTTGTGGGATTTTTTTCAGACGAATCCACAATTTTAGTTTCAAAATTTTGATGAGATACAGTGGATTCTTCAAAGTTGAGTGAGTCCCACAGGAACAGAATAAGTCCAGGAGTTAAATATCTGGGTCTCCAAAATCACTGTTCAGAAAATTTTAAAAAATGATTGGAAATGTGAAATTGAAAATATTTTAGAATATAGGAAAACCTGCAGTTTATTTTCAAAGGTGCAAACCTAAACTTACTTGCATTTGATCTTCATCACTCTTTAACAGAAAACATAAGCAGTCCAAATATCTATATACAAATTACTGTTACTGTACTGAAAAACATGTCACTGATTCATCAGAGACTTTGTCTATAGACTGTGTCATCAGATACAAATATCATACACAAGAATTCTTTAAAGGAATTGGTATAAGAACAAATCTCAGTGCTAAGGTGATTTGTAATGGAGTTTTTGTGTCATACACTGAGTACCATTATAACTACAGCAACTGTTACACTGGTTACATATATCCCTGATAGTCTAACACCCTTGTATGATTTCTCAGTTTCTTAGCTACTTCCACAAGCAGAGGAAATACAGTGGTGTAGACAGTATGCTGTTGAGGTTGTACGGCCCACTGTTGTGGCGGTCACTCAAGGTCAGTCCTGTTGATTTCTGTTTATGATCTAAACACTGTGTTAATCACATACAGAAATTTCATTACCGCAGTTGCAGCTGTCTCTTAAGGTCAGTCACTGTGGTTTCTGTAGAACGATATGTTCTTGTATCATATAGTAATTATCCTAAGAGAAGGCAGGGACTCAACTTATTAGTTCTGACTGAAAGCCAGGGCTGAGCCTACGGTAGGTCAATGTAAATACTGTCTGCATTTCTATTGAAAACATCTATATATATATATATATATATATATATAGCTTTTATATCTGGGTCTCAAAATATTTATATGGGTGGGCTTATTACTTAGCCTATACTAATTGTCAGATAAAATATTATTTATCCTTCAAGATACAGAATTGACTAAAATATATAAATATGATTTGTCTTGAGAGGATTGTGATATGAGATATTGTAATAATGATATAAGGAGCGTTATACATGAAGTGCGACCATTTTTTTCTGTTTTGCCATTAATAGGTAGCTAACTGCCATGTCAGGGAAAATGCAGCCATGTTGTTGCTGGACTCGTTTCCGCTTCAAGATCAGGATCTGTGTATTGAAGAACTTGACCAGCTCCTACAGAAACAATTTGACATTTTCCAGGTGAGTACAGTCCGCAGTAAGTGTCGGGAAATAGGTTGTAGTAGATGATATAGTTTTGTGGTTGTATTATTTCAGATTGTCCCAGTTAGTACTTGTTCACAGTGATTTTATTTTGCACTATCCCACCTTAAGTAGTAAACAAAGCATTTTCTGGTGTATTTTGTTTTTTGCTAAAAAACATTTTCTGTGTGTTAATATCATGCAGTTGTAGATGACAAAAAAATTGAATACCCCAGCATATAACCAACTATACAGAGATTGGGAGTAAATCCTGACTTAGCACTGAGATTCTTTTGTGGACAAGCACTTGTGGTATGAAATTACTTCTTAAGGAAGTTAATTGTACAATTTAGATTCATCAACCTAAAAAAAACCAAACAAACAAACACGATTTCTTGCCCCAGAAATTTCAGTGGTATGAGAAGGACATAGTGTTCCCAGTTTCTATCTCATCCCATCCTCTTCCTAATCAGTGTCATATCTCGAGAACCTCTCAACAGATTTCATATTTACCTCCTAGTATCATAACATTAAGTTCTACTGTCATTAAAGTCATCATTTGTCAAGATTAAAAGGGTCAAAGGTCACATTTGACAACTTCGGCAGATTCCTCAAACATTGTTAGGAGTAGGTCATTCATGCTTTTATAAATTTACATTTACAATTTCAGATATTAGAGAATTATCAAACAGCCCCATATAATATTTCTTTTCTGATGAGGACATATATGACATTGAAACAATCAATTAATTTGTCACATTAAAAGATCTGCGTAACAAATGTGGTATATAAACCACCTTTTCAGGCACTGCTGGAAGACACCTACTCAAGTATTCGCTCTGTCACTGTCCGGAAGCTGAGTAAGATCTTAAGCACCTTCTGCGAATTCATCCCTGTAGAAACCATCAAAAATCTTGTCACCAAAATGATGCAGGATCTGGTTTGGGATGCCTCGTCTGCCGATGTTAGAGCTAGCGTTATACTGGTGAGTAATCGTGAATATCTCTCTTCTGTTGCAAAACTATGTTGGAATTATTTTCTTATATAGAAAATCATTTTTATTTCTACTGTAGTGTACTACATGTTTAGTTTAATCTTAGATGAGACATAATGACTCTGTAGTCTTCATGAATGACTGGCTAATGTCGTACAGACTGTATCACTGGGAACTGTAATATGATTCATGGATGTCTCAGAGTGAGTTTAATATGTAAACGTGTCAGAATGGGATAATTTTGGTTTGTTTAGGTTTCAGAGTAAGACAGTTTTGTTTGTTTAGGTTTCAGAGTAAGACAGTTTTGTTTGTAAAGGTTTCAGAGTAAGACAGTTTTGTTTGTAAAGGTTTCAGAGTAAGACAGTTTTGTTTGTTTAGGTTTCAGAGTAAGACAGTTTTGTTTGTAAAGGTTTCAGAGTAAGACAGTTTTGTTTGTAAAGGTTTCAGAGTAAGACAGTTTGGTTTGTTTAGGTTTCAGAGTAAGACAGTTTTGTTTGTTTAGGTTTCAGAGTAAGACAGTTTTGTTTGTAAAGGTTTCAGAGTAAGACAGTTTTGTTTGTAAAGGTTTCAGAGTAAGACAGTTTTGTTTGTAAAGGTTTCAGAGTAAGACAGTTTTGTTTGTTTAGGTTTCAGAGTAAGACAGTTTTGTTTGTAAAGGTTTCAGAGTAAGACAGTTTTGTTTGTAAAGGTTTCAGAGTAAGACAGTTTTGTTTGTTTAGGTTTCAGAGTAAGACAGTTTTGTTTGTAAAGGTTTCAGAGTAAGACAGTTTTGTTTGTTTAGGTTTCAGAGTAAGACAGTTTTGTTTGTAAAGGTTTCAGAGTAAGACAGTTTTGTTTGTAAAGGTTTCAGAGTAAGACAGTTTTGTTTGTTTAGGTTTCAGAGTAAGACAGTTTTGTTTGTAAAGGTTTCAGAGTAAGACAGTTTTGTTTGTTTAGGTTTCAGAGTAAGACAGTTTTGTTTGTAAAGGTTTCAGAGTAAGACAGTTTTGTTTGTTTAGGTTTCAGAGTAAGACAGTTTTGTTTGTAAAGGTTTCAGAGTAAGACAGTTTTGTTTGTTTAGGTTTCAGAGTAAGACAGTTTTGTTTGTAAAGGTTTCCGAGTAAGACAGTTTTGTTTGTAAAGGTTTCAGAGTAAAACAGTTTTGTTTGTTGAGGTTTCAGAGTAAAACAGTTTTGTTTGTTTAGGTTTCAGAGTAACACAGTTTTGTTTGTTGAGGTTTCAGAGTAAAACAGTTTTGTTTGTTGAGGTTTCCGAGTAAGACAGTTTTGTTTGTAAAGGTTTCAGAGTAAAACAGTTTTGTTTGTAAAGGTTTCAGAGTAAGACAGTTTTGTTTGTTTAGGTTTCAGAGTAAGACAGTTTTGTTTGTAAAGGTTTCAGAGTAAGACAGTTTTGTTTGTTTAGGTTTCAGAGTAAAACAGTTTTGTTTGTTGAGGTTTCAGAGTAAAACAGTTTTGTTTGTTGAGGTTTCCGAGTAAGACAGTTTTGTTTGTAAAGGTTTCAGAGTAAAACAGTTTTGTTTGTAAAGGTTTCAGAGTAAAACAGTTTTGTTTGTTTAGGTTTCAGAGTAACACAGTTTTGTTTGTAAAGGTTTCAGAGTAAGACAGTTTTGTTTGTAAAGGTTTCAGAGTAAGACAGTTTTGTTTGTTTAGGTTTCAGAGTAAGACAGTTTTGTTTGTTTAGGTTTCAGAGTAAGACAGTTTTGTTTGTAAAGGTTTCAGAGTAAGACAGTTTTGTTTGTTTAGGTTTCAGAGTAAGACAGTTTTGTTTGTAAATGTTTCAGAGTAAAACAGTTTTGTTTGTTTAGGTTTCAGAGTAAGATAGTTTTGTTTGTTTAGGTTTCAGAGTAAGACAGTTTTGTTTGTAAAGGTTTCAGAGTAAGACAGTTTTGTTTGTTGAGGTTTCAGAGTAAAACAGTTTTGTTTGTTTAGGTTTCAGAGTAAAACAGTTTTGTTTGTAAAGGTTTCCGAGTAAGACAGTTTTGCTTGTTGAGGTTTCAGAGTAAGACAGTTTTGTTTGTAAAGGTTTCAGAGTAAGACAGTTTTGTTTGTAAAGGTTTCAGAGTAAGACAGTTTTGTTTGTTTAGGTTTCAGAGTAAGACAGTTTTGTTTGTAAATGTTTCAGAGTAAAACAGTTTTGTTTGTAAAGGTTTCAGAGTAAGACAGTTTTGTTTGTAAAGGTTTCAGAGTAAGACAGTTTTGTTTGTTTAGGTTTCAGAGTAAGACAGTTTTGTTTGTAAATGTTTCAGAGTAAAACAGTTTTGTTTGTTTAGGTTTCAGAGTAAGACAGTTTTGTTTGTTTAGGTTTCAGAGTAAGACAGTTTTGTTTGTAAAGGTTTCAGAGTAAGACAGTTTTGTTTGTTGAGGTTTCAGAGTAAAACAGTTTTGTTTGTTTAGGTTTCAGAGTAAAACAGTTTTGTTTGTAAAGGTTTCCGAGTAAGACAGTTTTGCTTGTTGAGGTTTCAGAGTAAGACAATTTTGACATTTTGATGGATGTTTCAGAGTATGATGAACTTGCTTGACAATCAGATGTTCATTCCCATGCTGAAGCCAGTGTTGCCCCAGCTATGTAACCACATCCATGACACATCTGAGAAGGTCCGTGTTGCTATGATAGATCTTCTTCTCAAGGTCAAAGGCATCAGAGCCATCAAGGTCAGTTTGAGGCTATATTAAAGTTATAGGCAGTGGATGAATCTGATTAAATTCAGTTTAAAATATTTTAAGCATCCTGAAATTTGTTAAACAATTAATCAATTTTTGACACTTTTTCAGCACTGTACACAAATGCAGTGAATATCAGTGTGATAAAAATAGAATTACTCCTTAGTATGTCACCAAATATTGGAATATTTATTTGTTAGGGTGGTATTTAAACAAGAAAATAATATTTGAATATTCCTTATCACAAACGTAATATATCAACATTGGAAGATAACTACGTTAATCTGTCCAATCAGTCACTTTAATCAGCATTTAATTTAATCATTTCTGTTGGATGTTTATTGAATTAATTGAATTTTATTATAGCGTTATTTTCGTAAATACTTAATAGTGGAACAATTTATGCTATGAAGTATAAGTACAATTATTAGGGCCCAGATTGAAAAAAAGTCATACTTTTAGTAATAATTCTTTTGAGTTTTGAAATATGAGAGGACATAAATGTGTCTTCACTATTTTCATGCTTTTTTCACATTTTTTACCGAGTTAATAGGCCTAGAAATTGATCTCATTCCTCATAACTACCATTCTGGAGTATAACTAGTTATTTGTCTTGTTCCTTGTATTGAGAAATTTAGTCACTGTGGGTACTGTTCTGTTCTGTATTGGTATAAGGTTACCAGTATGTTACAGTAGGTATGAAAACAAATATTGGAATACTGTATCAGACAAATATTTGAATAGTAATTTCTGTCAAATTGACATTCCTGCTCCTTAGATATGTACTGCTGAGAGAGGATTGTCATTGAAATAAAACCAGGTGTCTTGGGATAGGACAGGTATTTGATGGGAAAAGACTTTAATCAAGAAATAGTCTTACAGTGGGATAGATGTTTTACTGGAATATCCTTGGACAAATTATCAAATTGAATGAAATTCTTTGAGTGGTAACCCTAAACAAAAACTCATTGAAATAAACCTTAGATAACTAAAATATGTTTTCTTTATGACAGGAATGCTTCCAAATTTAAATTACCATGAATTAAAAGTGTTCTTATTTACTGTTATTTGTTTACCTAAGATTGTTAACATTCCATATCACTTGATATCATTTTGAATTTAATAGCATGTTTTTGCAGTATTGGGATATTGTCCCTATGGAACATGTCTTAGCCCGTCTGGAGATCGACTCCCATCCTGTCGTCCGCCGTATCATGAAGCTACTCCAAAGTACATTCATGCCCCTAGACAAACCAAAGAGTGTCCAGCTTGACCGCTGTATTGCCCTGATAGAATCCAGCCGAGGGGCAGCCAGACAGTTCTTCCACCATGCTCCAGCCCAGATGTCCGTTGAGGACACGGGTAAGGCAAATCAAATTCATTTTAGCTTCCACAATTTAATGAAGAATGAAGGTCAAACGGGTCCTATAGTGCTTTATAGTTCTATGTCTGTCCTGAATTGATGTCATTAACTTCATATGTAAGCTATGTCAATAACTTGTACTGGTTCTAGTTTCAAAATTTTTAAAGTCAAAGTCGCCAAAGGTCAAAGCTTTAACCCTGATCTCTACAGTTGTACGGTTGGTGTCTTCGTTGCCATGGATATTGGTTTCTATCTTCATCTTATTACGGTAGATTTGGACTATTAACGATCGTGTATGCTTTATCTGTTTCAGCCACCTATATGATTTCCATTGTCGCTTGTATCCTACGATGTATAAAAGCAGAAAAGTCAAAGCGTGAAGAAGGAGAAAACTCCGAACAGGAAGGGGTAGACAAATCTACGAGCCAGGATGGAGCATCAGAAAAGGTGTGCAGTACAACTACCTTAACTCTTAACCCTTTACTGTTCATGTGTATTTCTAGTTCAAAAAAAATACGAACTAGGAACAGCATGCTATTTTGAACCCTTATCCCTGTTATGCATTTCTCTGAAATTAAAACATGTTTCGGTAATATTGTAAATGATTTCCTTCAGGGTTGAATTAGATAAAAAAGAAATTCTTATAACAGCTAGTGACATGTTTTATGTTTTGATGATTACTGTCACATTTATTACTGTTAAATAATTAATTTTTGTGGGAGATTTATTTTTGGTTTATTCATTTGAATCCACAAATTTATATATCCATGAAACAATAAACAGAAAAAAGTTGACATGGATTATAGAAGTAGTGGATTTTGTTAAGAAGACTTACCAACAAAATCAAGTGTCTACAAAGACATATGTTTATGGAAAACCATGTAATTTGAGCCCCACGAAAATATATAATTTTACAGAATACCCTGTGGTGCAATGTGTCTATTATATTTCCTGATCAGATTGAAGACGAGGAGGAAGAGGAGGACGAAACTTTGACAATACATAACACAGAAGTGATGGCAGGATTGGTGGAAGCTGTAGTGATACTCTGGTCTGTCATAAACAACGATCTTAAAAAGGTGATTCTATACTCACAACATGCTGTAGGTGACAAAATTCCTTATGGAAGAAAAACCAACATAAAGACCATTTCTAATTTAATATTGGGGAATAAGTGTATGACTCTTGATAGTGAATAAGTGTATGGTTCTGTGTGGTGAATATGTGTATGGTTCTGTGTGGTGAATATGTGTGTGGTTCTGTTTGGTGAATATGTGTATGGTTCTGTGTGATGAGTAAGTGTATGAATCTGTATGGTGAATAAGTGTAGGGTTCTGTATGGTGAATAATAGTAGGGCTCTGATTGTTGAATAAGTGTAGGGCTCTGTGTGGTGAATAAGTGTATGGCTCTGATTGTTGAATAAGTGTATGGTTCTGTGTGATGAGTAATTGTAGGGTTCTGTGTGGTGAATAAGTGTATGGCTCTGATTGTTGAATAAGTGTATGGTTCTGTGTGATGAGTAATTGTAGGGTTTTGTATGTTGAATAAGTGTAGGGCTCTGTGTGGTGAATAAGTGTAGGGCTCTGTATGGTGAATAAGTGTATGGTTCTGTGTGGTGAGTAAGTGTATGGTTCTGTATGGTGAATATGTGTATTGTTCTGGATGATGAATAAGTGTATGGTTCTGTGAGGTGAATAAGTGTAGGGCTCTGTGTCAGGGTTTTCCATAATTTTGTTAGTAGTAGGCTGTGTAGTGAAAGTAGGAGGCTGGCCTGCCGTGTACGTGTAGTCGTGTACAGAACCTTATTACGGAACTGGATTGGTGTAGGCGGCCAAATGATCAAAGTAGCCGGTCAAATTGGCCGGCGACCGGCTCTTATGGAAAACCCTGTGTGTGGTGAATAAGTATAGGGCTCTGTGTGGTGAATAAGTGTATGGTTCTGTGTGGTGAATAAGTGTATGGTTCTGTGTGATGAATAAGTGTATGGCTCTGATTGTTGAATAAGTGAGGGCTCTGTGCTGTGAATAAGTGTATAGTTCAGTATGGTGAAGAAGTGTATAGTTCTGTGTGGTGAATAAGTGTATGGTTCTGTGTGGTGAATAAGTGTATGGTTCTCTGTGGTGAATAAGTGTATGGTTCTGTGTGGTGAATAAGTGTATAGTTCTGTGTGGTGAATAAATGTATAGTTCTGTGTGGTGAATAAGTGTAGGGCTCTGTGTGGTGAAGAAGTGTAGGGTTCTGTATGATGAATAAGTGTATGGTTCTGTGTGGTGAATAAGTGTAGGGCTCTGTGTGGTGAATAAGTGTATGGCTCTGATTGTTGAATAAGTGAGGGCTCTGTGTTGTGAATAAGTGTAGGGCTCTGTGTGGTGAAGAAGTGTATGGTTCTGTATGGTGAATAAGTGTAGGGTTCTGTATGGTGAATAAGTGTAGGGCTCTGGTGGTGAAGAAGTGTAGGGCTCTGTTTGGTGAATATGTGTATGGTTCTGTGTGGTGAAGAAGTGTAGGGCTCTGTGTGGTGAATATGTGTATGGTTCTGTGTGGTGAGTAAGTGTATGGTTCTGTATGGTGAATATGTGTATGGTTCTGGATGATGAATAAGTGTATGGTTCTGTGAGGTGAATAAGTGTAGGGCTCTGTGTGGTGAATAAGTGTATGGTTCTGTGTGGTGAATATGTGTATGGTTCTGGATGATGAATAAATGTATGGTTCTGTATGGTGAATATGTGTATGTTTCTGGATGATGAATAAATGTATGGTTCTGTTTGGTGATTAAGTATTTGGCTCTGGTTGATGAATAAGTAAGGCTCTGAAGAATAGCCTAGAAATAAATATAAAAATCATTTCTCAACTGAAATAGATAATTGTGAGCTCAGTTATCCTGAAAGGTGTAATGTGCCTGTATGTATCTTGGCATATTTACAATTTGTTACAGATTTACCTTCTTAATTAAATAGTAGTATTGCTTTTGTATTTAGTAAGTGGAGACTGCTGGTGGTGGAAAGTACTTCACTCAATATAAAAGTAAAAGTTTGAAAATATCCATTAATTTTACACATAAACTGACGTCTTAAATTTTTTAATCAGTTTTGTTGGTATCATTAGTAACACCACCTTCTTTTAACATCAAAAATGTTCTTTGACTATTTAAGAAATACATTTATGTAAATGATATAGGAGAGATAAATATCAGATTTTAATACTTTTTGTGAAATCATAAATATTTGTCGGAGATTTATTTTTGTTGACTTTTCTTAAGCCATAAATTCATATGTACATGAACAAATGAGTAAAAGTAGATTGAGCTGTATTTACCCATAAAATGAATATGTGACTTTATAACATATATTAGGTGTCAAATTTTAATACTTTGTCTATCAATTATGTTTAAAAAGTTCTATATTATTGGAGATCCTAATTATCGCTTACTCACAGTACCAAACCTTAGGTTTAACCAGCTATTTGTTTGCATTCCAGCGACAGAACCATGCCATTGAGGAGAACCTACAAACAAAGATCAGCATTGGTGTTACAGAAATGATGAAGTTCTTTGATGTAGGTATCAGTAAATGATTTCTGTAAGTTCTTGGTCCAGGGTCTAAAGTTACAGGGTGTTCACTGTTACAGGGGTCCATAGTGAGGAGTGTTCACTATTACAGGAGTTCATAGGGAGGGGTGTTCACTGTTACAGGGGTCCATAGTGAGGGATGTTCACTGTTACAGGGGTCCATAGGGAAAGGTGTTAACTGTAACGGGTCCATAGGGAGGGGTGTTCACTGTTACAGGGGTCCATAGGGAAAGGTGTTCACTGTAACGGGTCCATAGGAAGGGGTGTTCACTGTAACAAGGGTCCATAGGGAGGGATGTTCACTGTTACAGGGGTCAATAGTGAAGGATGTTCACTGTTATAGGGGTCCACTATTACAGGGGTCCATAGGAAGGGGTGTTCACTGTTACAGGAGTCCATAGGGAGGAGTGTTCACTGGTACAGTTTTCACCATGACAAGTGTCCACTGTGACAGGGGTCCATCATGACAGGTGTCCACTGTGACGGGGGTCCACCATGACAGGTCTGCTGTGACAGGGGTCCACCTTGACAGGGTTCTGCTGTGACAGGGGTCCGCCATGACAAGTGTTTACTGTGACAGGGGTCCACCATGACAGGTGTCTACTGTGACAGGCCCACCTTCACAAGTGTCCACTGTGACAGGGGTCCACCATGACAGGTGACTGCTGTGACAGGGGCCCACCATGACAGGTGTCTGCTGTGACAGGGGTCCACCATGACAAGTGTCTGCTGTGACAGGGGTCCACCATGACAAGTGTCTGCTGTGACAGGGGTCCATCATGACAGGTATCTGCTGTGACAGGAGTCCACCATGACAGGTGTCTGCTGTGACAGGGTCCCACCATGACAAGTGTCTACTGTGACAAGCCCACCTTAACAAGTGTCCACTGTGACAGGGGTCCACCATGACAGGTGTCTGCTGTGACAGGGGTCCACCATGACAGGTGTCTGCTGTGACAGGGGTCCACCATCACAGGTGTCTGCTGTGACAGGGGTCCACCATGTCAAGTGTCCACTGTGACAGGGGTCCACCATGACAGGTATCTGCTGTGACAGGAGTCCACCATGACAGGTGTCTGCTGTAACAGGGGTCCACCATGACAAGTGTCTGCTGTGACAGGGGTCCACCATGACAGGTGTCTGCTGTGACAGGGGTCCACCATGACAGGTGTCTGCTGTGACAGGGGTCCACCATGACAAGTGTCTGCTGTGACAGTGGCCCACCATGACAGGTATCTGCTGTGACAGGGGCCCACCATGACAAGTGTCCACTGTGGTGAGGAACCATAATGTATATTTAAAATCCATGCTGTGATATTATAATCCATTGTGTTGTGATATTATAATCCATTGTGTTGTGATATTATAATCCATTGTGTTGTGATATTATAATCTTTTGTGTTGTGATATTATAATCCATTGTGATATTATAATCCTTTGTGTTGTGATATTATAATCCATTGTGTTGTGACATTATAATTCATTGTGATACTATAATCCATTGTGTTGTGATATTATAATCCATTGTGTTGTGATATTATAATCTTTTGTGTTGTGATATTATAATCTTTTTTGTTGTGATATTATAATCCATTGTGATATTATAATCCATTGTGTTGTGACATTATAATCCATTGTGATACTATAATCCATTGTGTTGTGATATTATAATCCATTGTGTTATTATAATCCATTGTGTTGTGATATTATAATCCATTGTGTTGTGATATTATAATCCATTGTGTTGTGATATTATAATCCATTGTGTTGTGACATTATAATCCATTGTGATATTATAATCCATTGTGTTGTGATATTATAATCCATTGTGTTGTGATATTATAATCCATTGTGTTGTGATATTATAATCCATTGTGTTGTGACATTATAATCCATTGTGATATTATAATCCATTGTGTTGTGATATTATAATCTTGTGTGTGTTGTGATATTATAATCCATTGTGTTGTGATATTATAATCCATTGTGTTGTGATATTATAATCTTTTGTGTTGTGATATTATAATCCATTGTGATATTATAATCCATTGTGTTGTGATATTATAATCCATTGTGTTGTGACATTATAATCCATTGTGATACTATAATCCATTGTGTTGTGATATTATAATCCATTGTGTTGTGGTATAAATTCGATTGACTTGTTTAAAATCTTATGTGTTTTGATAGGACCCTCAGGTGTGTTCTGCCCTCATTAACCTGGCTGGCTTTGTTCCTTATAACTCAGTCCCCACCATCAGGTAAGTTCACTTGTTATTCCTCAATGACTGTTGAAGAGAAAATGTCTGTCACAATATTTAACAGTCTATAAACGATTGGAGAACTCTAATAATCATCAGGTAAAACAACCTTCCATCTTTTATATAAAAGTGTTCAAGATGACCTCTTTATATTTTCCTGGTCATCAGTATTAGTTAACATGTTATAAATCACATCTGGAAACTTTTCAGGAATTATCATAATAAAATGGTAAAAGAAAGTAATAGTGAAGATGATGTACAGGGGTTCTGTTCTGCTGACCTAATTAAGGTGGATTGCAATCTGTTCCAGCATATGTCCATAGCACAAAGCTGGCATACAAGATGTCTGATAACATTTTGTTGGTCATTGGTCTAGCTAAATTTGAAATTTAAACAAAAATCAAGGGAGGTAACACTTTTGTAATAAAGACATCTTTGTTTTGATTGTTGCAGTCGTACATGCCTATCCAAACTGAAGAAGATGTCTGTAGAGAGTGTCACAGAAGATTACAGCTCTTATCTAGATGCTCTTTGTAAATGGGACAAAGTGGTGAACATTCTGGACCTGGTGGACGAGTGGCTAACTGAAGGACTTCAGCAGGGAAATAACTCCTTACAGACACCTACTGCAAAGGTATACAGGGGGACACACCCTCACAGACACCTACTGCAAAGGTATACAGGGGGACACACCCTAACAGACACCTACTGCAATGGTATACAGGGGGGGGGGGACACAGCCTTTCAGACACCTACTGTAATGTTATATAGGGGGACACAGCCTCACAGACACCTACTGCAAAGTTATACAGGGGGACACACCCTAACAGACACCTACTGCAAAGGTATACAGGGGGACACACCCTCACAGACACCTACTGTAATGGTATACAGGGTAGACCTCCAATTTAAGGCTTTTTACTGGCAATTTGCAAGTAGAAATCCAAGAATTCCAAGTAGAAAAAATAATGACTTGCTTTTTCAGCAAGTGGATTCATCAGATGCAAACTGTGAATGCCTGTCTATTCCTAACATTTCACAGAATTAAATTGTTTTGAGTTTGATTTTCAAAGTGTAAATATTAGGACAAAGCAGTTCTACTATAAAGTTAATATATATTGGATGAAGCAAGGTAATATATTATAAATCACAAAACAAAACACATTATTTGAATATTGAGATTTGCGATAATAACAAGTAAAAAGTCATTTTAGCAAGTACAAATTTAAGGCACAAGTGACAAGAAATGTTAAATTTGAGGCCTGCAGGGGGACACTCCCTCAAAGACACCTACTTGAACAGTATACACCTCAAAAGACAATAACTTCCAGTTTTTGAAAGGATCCTTTTTGAAAATGTATTGAGATCCATTTCATTATGAATACATTTAGTGTACTAATTTATGTAGTTTTTGATGAAGGTAAGTTGTGAAGAAAACATAGTTTGTTTATCTGACACTTTCTGATCTTTGGTTAGATTTCAGCTGAATTTAGATGTTAAGCTTTATTTCTATCAAAGCAACATTTAGAAATATTTCCCTTCTTCGTCTCTCTCTACTTACGTCATTTTTGTTAAACCCTGATGTAAATCAGAATCAGAAGGTACATATATCTTCATTAACCAGTTATTCTATCCTGTCTAGGTGGGGAAAAAGCGCCAGAAGAGTGTTGGCTTTGTAGTTCCTCAGGAAGCAGTACCAACACTTGGCATAGACTATGTGACTTACATGTTACGTAGCCCGATATGTCGTCCTATCCTCACCAGTCACATCAACGAACTCACACAACTCCAGGCTAAACTGAGGACAGCTATGGTAAGTGTTAACTGTCTAGAATTGACCAAGGATATTTCTTCTTTTCACTAAACTGAGGACGGCTACGGTAAGTGTTAACTGTCTAGAATTGACCAAGGATATTCCTCCTGTTCACTAAACTGAGGACAGCTATGATAAGTGTTAACTGTCTAATTTCTTCTTTTCACTAAACTGAGGACAGCTATGGTAAGTGTTAACTGTCAAGAATTCACCAAGGATATTCCTTCTGTTCACTAAACTGAGGACAGCTATGGTAAGTGTTAACTGTCTAGAATTGACCAAGGATATTCCTCCTGTTCACTAAACTGAGGACAGCTATGGTAAGTGTTAACTGTCTAGAATTGACCAAGGATATTCCTCCTGTTCACTAAACTGAGGACAGCTATGGTAAGTGTTAACTGTCTAGAATTGACCAAGGATATTCCTCCTGTTCACTAAACTGAGGACAGCTATGATAAGTGTTAACTGTCTAATTTCTTCTTTTCACTAAACTGAGGACAGCTATGATAAGTGTTAACTGTCTAATTTCTTCTTTTCACTAAACTGAGGACAGCTATGATAAGTGATAACTGTCTAATTTCTTCTTTTCACTAAACTGAGGACAGCTATGATAAGTGTTAACTGTCTAATTTCTTCTTTTCACTAAACTGAGGACAGCTATGGTAAGTGTTAACTGTCTAGAATTCACCAAGGATATTCCTTCTGTTCACTAAACTGAGGACGACTATGGTAAGTGTTAACTGTCTAGAATTCACCAAGGATATTCCTTCTGTTCACTAAACTGAGGACAGCTATGGTAAGTGTTAACTGTCTAGAATTCACCAAGGATATTCCTTCTGTTCACTAAACTGAGGACGACTATGGTAAGTGTTAACTGTCTAGAATTCACCAAGGATATCCCTTCTGTTCACTAAACAGAGGACGACTATGGTAAGTGTTAACTGTCTAGAATTCACCAAGGATATTTCTTCTATTCATTAATGAAACCATAAAAAGAAGGTCTAGTTCTTTATCAACAAGAATTTAATACCAATAAAACTAAAGAGCAATCCAGGAGTTTGAAGAAAGAAAACTCAATTTTTTGATGATTGAAAATGTTTTGGAAAGAAAATAATGGTCAGGTGGAGTTTTTTAGATTTGAGACAGTGTTAGGATTGCTGTGTTAGATTTTTTTTAACATTGATTGCTAATGGAGGTGTTTTCCCAACAGAAGTGTGTGGAGCGGAGCCTGATATCAGAAGCTGATGCTGTGCCTGATCACCTGTTAACGGCCAGCTTCAGTCTCTACTGTAAACTAGCTGGTATTCTTCATCAATCGGTAAGGATTTCATACCTGTTAACAGCCATTTTTTGCCTCAAATGTACAAAGCAGGCATTTTTCATCAGTCTTAAAAGGCATTGCTGTCTATCAATCCATACATCTAAATAAAAGTTCCCAGTTCCCAAAATTTCATATGATTCCTGCATGCAATAATTATTGAATATGGAAATAGATGTGTATCCTTGGAAATCTAGCTTCCTATTCCTTGAGAGTATTTTAATTGATAAGTTTGTAAGAGCAAAGTTAAGTCTCTAATCTATCATTAATGGTGTGTGCTATTGTCTGTCAACATTTCCTATAAATTGCAATTGTAAATGGTGGGTCTGAGGTCCCCAGGTGCTGAGGAGTGTGGCCCAATATAGAAATCTATTAAGTTTTTAAATGAACATTAATATTCGTTTGTTAGAATTTGCAATTACAATTTAAGGCAGTCTTTTTTTTTATAAATGACATCTACTACTGGTTCAATACAGGGGTCACGGTCCAAATTGCTTGCATTCAAGCATTTGCTTCAAACAAAATGCTTTATAACATTCAGACCCTTTCTTATTGTTAGCAAGTACATATGAAATTATATAAGTATAGAATGTGATATTACCTTATACTAGCCCCATGTCCAGTAATGTTACAGATGTGCATACATAAACATCAACACGTTTGGATTGGTAAGACGATATACAGGATCAGAAAGGATTGTGTCTTGCGCAAGCAGAATACATGTGTAAAAAATGTATTGATTTATTTTTATTTTAATTTGCCATTAAAAACAATTTGTGATGTTTCATGTTTGACCATTTCAAGTAAAAAAAAAAGATACATAACACCATCAAAACCATCTTATCTTCCTCAATCCTGTCAATCATTGCCTGATCTTGTAAATAGTCTACCCCATTTGGAGTAATACAGCGGATCCTATTATCACTTGCTTCACACCAGATCTAAAATGAACATTCCACTTTGATTTCAGAATATTATCGGATAATGTTTATTGGTTTTCATTACTTAATTTAAAACAGTACATTTAATTTAAAACAGCACATTTTAAAATAGATCGCAATAAGCGATCTCGTATCGAGGACAAAGCCAATCAGCTATCTCGTATCTAGGACAAAGCAAATCAGTTTTCTCATATCTAGGACAAAGCCAATCAGTTATCAAGTATCTAGGACAAAACCAATCAGTTTTCTCATATCTAGGACAAAGCCAATCAGTTATCTAGTATCTAGGACAAAGCCAATCAGTTTTTTCGTATCTAGGACAAAGCCAGTCAGTTATCTTGTATCTAGGACAAAGCCAATCAGTTTTCTCGTATCTAGGACAAAGCCAATTAGTTATCTAGTATCTAGGACAAAGCCAATCAGTTATCTAGTATCTAGTAGAAAGCCAATCAGTTTTTTCGTATCTAGGACAAAGCCTGTCAGTTATCTCGTATCTAGGACAAAGCCAATCTGTTTTCTCATATCTAGGACAAAGCAAATTAGTTATCTTGTATCTAGGACAAAGCCTTTCAGCTACCTTGTATCTAGGACAAAGCCAATTAGTAATCTGGTATATAGGACAAAGCCAATCAGTTATCTCGTAACTAGGACAAAGCCAATCAGCTATCTTGTATCTAGGACAAAGCCAATCAGTTTTTTCATACCTATACAAAGCCAATCAGTTATCTCGTATCTAGAACAAAGCCAATTACTAATCTGGTATATAGGACAAAGCCAATCAGTTATCTTGTAACTAGGACAAAGCCAATCAGCTATCTTGTATCTAGGACAAAGCCAATCAGTTTTTTCATACCTATACAAAGCCAATCAGTTATCTTGTATCTAGGGCAAAGCCACTCAGCTATCTCATATCTAGAACAAAGTCAATTAGCTATCTCGTATCTAGGGCAAAGCCAATCAGCTATCTCGTATCTAGGACAAAGCCAATCAGCTATCTCGTATCTAGGACAAAGCCAATCAGCTATCTCGTATCTATGACAAAGCCAGTATGCTGATAGTCTTCCATGTTCTCATGGCAGCTTTATGTTAATCATTTTTGATGCAAATCCAGATTAAAGATACTCTTTTCTGATGTAATCGTTTACAATTTAGGATATTGTGAATATTTGGTCTGAAGAATGCTTTGGTGAAGGGAAATCAGATTTGTGTAAATGGTGGTTCTCAATTACCTAGGGCCAGAGCGGCAGGGCCCAAAATGGAATATCCATTTCTTTAAAATCTATCTTATTCTTGGGAATTGCAGATTAATGTCTGAAGTTGGTCTGAAGCATGCTTGGGTGAAGGCTGATAAGCTTTGTATAAATGGTGTGTCTAACCCCTGACCCTCCACCCCCACTCCTTTTACCACAGAGTAGGGCCCAATTGGGGAAATAGAGTCTTTAAAATCCTACTCCTCCTGTAGGAATGATTAAATTTTGCATATATTTGGTTGAAGCATCCTTTGATGAAGTGAAATCTGTTTTAAATAATTTTTTGGTGTTTAGGGCCTTTGAGGGGAGATAGAGAAAATTCCTTAAAATCCTACTTTTCCTGTAGAAGTGATTGGATTTTACCTATATTTGGTTGAAGCATCCTTTGAAATTGAATAAACTTTTGTTTTTAGGGGGCCATTGAGAGGCAGGGGGGAGGAAATTAAGCAAATTTTGTAAAACCTTGTTCAGGGATACCTGGATGTTCTCTAAAATCTTTCTTTGTTCGAGCAGGAGACATCTTTGGTGAAGAGAACCTAGTATTATACAAACGTTGCATCCTTATTTGAAGGATGGGTGAGCCTGTTACGGGCAATAGATACAAGTGTTTTAACTTATCCTTTCATTCAAATAAATCAAATTTTAGCAAAATAAACCAGGTGAGCGATACAGGCCCTATGGGCTGATTCCATTCTCAAAGCAAAATTTTTAGCAACTACAAAGTCCAGCTCTCTTAAATGGCATCAGGCCTGTCAAGAATTATATGACGTTTCCATAGTCAATTTTACTTTTTCCAAAGCAACAAAAAGGTCAAAATCTGTTCAACAGTTTTTGCGTGTTATCATAACAAGCTGTCCAAGACCATTTGTGTGGACAATTCCCATATCTGATATATATATATACTATATATATACTAGGTTGTTTCTATTGTGAACAGTTTAATATGTATAAAGTCAGTAGATTGTTGTGTATCTAAGTATTCACTTGATTCTTCTGCAGAATACCAAGCATGATGCCAATACCACATTTGGGGAGTTATTTTCTTGGGCAGATGTATATCTCCTACCCAACCTTGGCCAAGGAGAAAAACTGGCTGACACTACATCTAGGAAACGTACTCTACTTTCTTTGACAGAAACATTTCTTCTTCCGAGCCCAGACCCACAGGACAAACAAACAGAAGTGTCCAGGAAGCGTCCTTTAAATCAGGCTGGACAAAATTCAGTGACGCTGGCAACTTCTGTTTTAGAGATGATTCTGGCTGCAGGGGGTGATCTCCTCTTAATAGGTGTCGGAGACACAAGTTTTGCTGTACTGCTAGCCAACTTCTGTGTTCTGTGTCTACAGAGAGGTAGGTGACACAAGTACTGCTAGCAGACTTCATTGTTCTGTGTCTACAGGGAGGTAGGTGACACATGTACTGCTAGCCGACTTCTTTGTTCTGTGTCTAAAGAGAGGTAGGTGACACAAGTTTTTCTGTACTGCTAGCTGACTTCAGTGTTCTGTGTCTACAGAGAGAGGTAGGTGACACAAGTTTTTCTGTACTGCTAGCTGACTTCAGTGTTCTGTGTCTACAGAGAGAGGTAGGTGACACAAGTTTTTCTGTACTGCTAGCTGACTTCAGTGTTCTGTGTCTACAGGGAGGTAGGTGACACATGTACTGCTAGCCGACTTCTTTGTTCTGTGTCTAAAGAGAGGTAGGTGACACAAGTTTTTCTGTACTGCTAGCCAACTTCTGTGTTCTGTGTCTACAGACAGGTAGGTGACACAAGTTTTTCTGTACTGCTAGCCAACTTCTGTGTTCTGTGTCTACAGAGAGGTAGGTGACACAAGTACTGCTAGCAGACTTCATTGTTCTGTGTCTACAGGGAGGTAGGTGACACATGTACTGCTAGCCGACTTCTTTGTTCTGTGTCTAAAGAGAGGTAGGTGACACAAGTTTTTCTGTACTGCTAGCCGACTTCTGTGTTCTGTGTCTACAGAGTGGTAGGTGACACAAGTTTTTCTGTACTGCTAGCTGACTTCAGTGTTCTGTGTCTACAGAGAGGTAGGTGACACAAGTTTTTCTGTACTGCTAGCTGACTTCAGTGTTCTGTGTCTACAGAGAGAGGTAGGTGACACAAGTTTTTCTGTAATGCTAGCTGACTTCAGTGTTCTGTGTCTACAGAGAGAGGTAGGTGACACAAGTTTTTCTGTACTGCTAGCTGACTTCAGTGTTCTGTGTCTACAGAGTGGTAGGTGACACAAGTTTTTCTGTACTGCTAGCTGACTTCAGTGTTCTGTGTCTACAGAGTGGTAGGTGACACAAGTTTTTAGGCTAAACGTACTCCGTACGCGTAGCCTATTGGGACGGCCTTTCAGACAAAATTTACCGATCCTGGCCTTCTCATTGGCTGAAATATCGAAAAGAGTTAGAGCCCTCTAGCGGCAATTTTCTGCGTAAATAATGCCGCGATCTTTCAAATCGCTATTTTAAAAGCATCCAAAATTAGTTTATTTTTTTTAATAACAATACGATTACTTTATATTTAAAAAAAGAAGTAAAGTATGGTTGAACTATTGATAAATTTTGAATAATATATTTTACGGAATTCTCGACATGACGTAAGGGTACAAAACACTGTACGTGCGAGTTGATAAGAAGCTAGTCTGGGGGCTTAGTTTGAATTATCAACTAACAGCACTTTTAAACAAACAAAACTTACAAACAGAACATCAATTTTGTTTTAATCCTTGTCGTTGTGGCAAGATCGTCTTAATATATAACATCACTTTACCTCAGTCGACGTCACCGAATTGGACTGTTCGTCCCAGGCGCACACCCGCCGATATGACACTTTTTCAAGTTTTTAAAGATAAAAAGTTTGCGCTTCGTAGGCAAGGTACATTTGGTGCTCATGATTTATGAATAACATATTTTTAATACTGTACTGATCATGATGTTGACTTTGTTATAACTTATATTTTTTTTTGTCTTTTAGTTTTATTTGATGAAGGTTGATTGTGCTGATTTCTCAAGGATTGTTAATGTGTATCAAAGTTCCTTGAAATGAAAATATTCCTTCAAACAAAGCGCGTATAAAAAATCCCAAATATTCATGTTTATAATTATCAATTAACTAGAACGAAATATTTCCATAACATATTTATTCATTTAGCGTGTCATGGTGACATTATCTAATGCATTGGAGATCAAAAATAGTAGTAGCAAATTTACGGTACACTTTAATCTATCTGAAATGTTGTGTACACCTTATCTACTTTCCTCAAGTACAAATATAATCATGATAAGTAAGGACTATTACTATGCAATATATTCAAAATAAAGAAGGTATAAAGTCCTTTCGATTTGTTTAAATCCTCATATTGATAGGAGAGTAATTGCAACATCTTGGGTATTTCAAAGGTTTTATTTAATCAACTTCATCATAGAGCTATCTATCATTTGGCTTGTTGGCGATAAATATATGGTTGTGTGTATTTTATTTATTCATTTTTTTTTTTTACCTATTTTGATTTGTTCACATTATTGTCGTCAAATTTGAAATAAGAATTAAAGAAGATATAAAATCGCTTAAAATTTAGAAAAATAGCCTCAGGTTCTCTTATTTTAGTAATTTTTGAATTCCAAAGTGTAGGAGTATGGGGAAAGTAATATAGCTTTGCAGTTATTTGTGAACATTTTTCAATACGTTTAGCCTCTCAGTACTTTCAGTACTTTGATCCTGTACTGCTAGCTGACTTCAGTGTTCTGTGTCTACAGAGAGGTAGGTGACACAAGTTTTTCTGTACTGCTAGCCGACTTCAGTGTTCTGTGTCTACAGAGAGAGGTAGGTGACACAAGTTTTTCTGTACTGCTAGCTGACTTCAGTGTTCTGTGTCTACAGAGAGGTAGGTGACACAAGTTTGTCTGTACTGCTAGCTGACTTCAGTGTTCTGTGTCTGCAGAGAGAGGTAGGTGACACAAGTTTTTCTGTACTGCTAGCTGACTTCAGTGTTCTGTGTCTACAGAGAGGTAGGTGACACAAGTACTGCTAGCAGACTTCATTGTTCTGTGTCTACAGGGAGGTAGGTGACACATGTACTGCTAGCCGACTTCTTTGTTCTGTGTCTAAAGAGAGGTAGGTGACACAAGTTTTTCTGTACTGCTAGCCAACTTCTGTGTTCTGTGTCTACAGAGAGGTAGGTGACACAAGTTTTTCTGTACTGCTAGCCAACTTCTGTGTTCTGTGTCTACAGAGAGGTAGGTGACACAAGTACTGCTAGCAGACTTCATTGTTCTGTGTCTACAGGGAGGTAGGTGACACATGTACTGCTAGCCGACTTCTTTGTTCTGTGTCTAAAGAGAGGTAGGTGACACAAGTTTTTCTGTACTGCTAGCCAACTTCTGTGTTCTGTGTCTACAGAGAGGTAGGTGACACACGTTTTTCTGTACTGCTAGCCAACTTCTGTGTTCTGTGTCTACAGAGAGGTAGGTGACACAAGTACTGCTAGCAGACTTCATTGTTCTGTGTCTACAGGGAGGTAGGTGACACATGTACTGCTAGCCGACTTCTTTGTTCTGTGTCTAAAGAGAGGTAGGTGACACAAGTTTTTCTGTACTGCTAGCCGACTTCTGTGTTCTGTGTCTACAGAGTGGTAGGTGACACAAGTTTTTCTGTACTGCTAGCTGACTTCAGTGTTCTGTGTCTACAGAGAGGTAGGTGACACAAGTTTTTCTGTACTGCTAGCCGACTTCAGTGTTCTGTGTCTACAGAGAGAGGTAGGTGACACAAGTTTTTCTGTACTGCTAGCTGACTTCAGTGTTCTGTGTCTACAGAGAGGTAGGTGACACAAGTTTTTCTGTACTGCTAGCTGACTTCAGTGTTCTGTGTCTACAGAGAGAGGTAGGTGACACAAGTTTTTCTGTACTGCTAGCTGACTTCAGTGTTCTGTGTCTACAGAGAGAGGTAGGTGACACAAGTTTTTCTGTACTGCTAGCCAACTTCTGTGTTCTGTGTCTACAGAGAGGTAGGTGACACAAGTACTGCTAGCAGACTTCATTGTTCTGTGTCTACAGGGAGGTAGGTGACACATGTACTGCTAGCCGACTTCTTTGTTCTGTGTCTAAAGAGAGGTAGGTGACACAAGTTTTTCTGTACTGCTAGCCAACTTCTGTGTTCTGTGTCTACAGAGAGGTAGGTGACACAAGTTTTTCTGTACTGCTAGCCAACTTCTGTGTTCTGTGTCTACAGAGAGGTAGGTGACACAAGTACTGCTAGCAGACTTCATTGTTCTGTGTCTACAGGGAGGTAGGTGACACATGTACTGCTAGCCGACTTCTTTGTTCTGTGTCTAAAGAGAGGTAGGTGACACAAGTTTTTCTGTACTGCTAGCCGACTTCTGTGTTCTGTGTCTACAGAGTGGTAGGTGACACAAGTTTTTCTGTACTGCTAGCTGACTTCAGTGTTCTGTGTCTACAGAGAGGTAGGTGACACAAGTTTTTCTGTACTGCTAGCTGACTTCAGTGTTCTGTGTCTACAGAGAGAGGTAGGTGACACAAGTTTTTCTGTACTGCTAGCTGACTTCAGTGTTCTGTGTCTACAGAGAGAGGTAGGTGACACAAGTTTTTCTGTACTGCTAGCTGACTTCAGTGTTCTGTGTCTACAGAGAGGTAGGTGACACAATTTTTTATTACCTATCCTTGTTACAAAGGACCAATGAGCTTTTGTCATGGTGTCTGTCTTTTTACTAAAAATCACTTCAAGTCATGAATAAGTGAACAGTTTTGTCCAGATTTCATCCTTGGAATTGTAGGGGAAGGGGAACCAAATTTGTACAAATATTGGTTCTCAGCTCCCAGGGGCCAGAGGGGTGGGCCAAAAACAGGAAATTTGTTGTTCAAAATCCTACATTACTTTAGGAATGAATGGATATTGCCAAAAATTGGGTGGAACCATATAAGAGAAATAGCAAAAATTCTGTGTATTGTAAACAAGTGAAATAAAATATAAAACAAATTTTGTGTGTATTGTAAACAAGTGAATGTGTACAAGGAATTTTGTGTGTATTGTAAACAAGTGAAGGTGTACAAGGAATTTTGTGTGTATTGTAAACAAGTTGAAGGTGTACAAGGAATTTTGTGTGTATTGTAAACAAGTGAAGGTATACAAGGAATTTTGTGTGTATTGTAAACAAAGTGAAATAAAACATAAAACAAATTTGCTACACATTTTTCAGATGAGTCTCTGAGTTCCTTATCTTCTGTCATGAACTGTCTGTGTAGTGTTACCGCCCACATCCTCCTCCAAGGTAAAGATTCCCATCGTAACAGTATCGCTGCCTATCTGGGAAAAGTCTTTGTTGCCATAGCGACTGCCTTATTGAGGGAGAAAGATCATGTTGTTAAGGTCAGTTTTTTTCATTCATTATTTTATATGAGAAAACCCAATAGACTCCAAAAATAAATTGGTTTTGTCTCTATGATTTGCTTTCCTACCTTTTTCTGCTATCAAAGACGTAATCTGGAGATCTGGTGTGGGCTTGATGCTGAAAAATCCAATGAGTTTTTGCTTTTTAGTCCACCATCGTCAGATGGTGGGATGTTCAAATTGCCCTACATCTGTGGTCCATCATCAATCTGTCTATTCATAAGTAATATTTGTTACCGCTAGTTTTTGAGAAGTACTGGAGAGGGCCTGATTAGGAAAACAAAATTGCCTGACAGGTGGTCATCTGAGAATTTCATTTTGGAAGTTTGTTATCACTATTTCTTGAGAACTACTGCATAGATTTTTCTCAAATTTCATGTGTAAGTCCCCCTTGATCCTATGGCTTCCAGTTCAACATCTTGGATTTGACTGTTAAAAATTATTATCGCTGCAAGGATAAATCTTCAAAAGAAAGGGAAGATCCAGTTTTCATATAGCAAATAAAGATCAAACAATGGTGGGCACCAAGATTCCTCAGGAACATCTTACTTTTTTTTGTTTGTTTTTTTTTTTTTTACTTTCACCCACACTTCAAATTAATGTCCATTTTCAAATTTTGTTGCCTGGTTATCTATGAAACTTCTTTTTATTTTAGTTAGTTAAAATTAGTCATTAATTTAATTTCATATTACATTAACTAAAAGGATGTTTTGTGTTACACGTTTTTGCACCATTTCCATCAAATGAAATATTTGGACATAATTACTATTGTTTCTTTTCATGTGTTACTCCTAGAATATTATTTCAAATTATCAATAATATTGTTTTGGTTTACAGATATTGCCTGGAGTACGAAACCATTTAATGGAAATTTTCAGCCTGGTATACGGAAGCCCACTGATGGACGAGTCTACTCTTCGTGAGATTATGGCCACAGTTATTGGGGCCCTGTTCGGGGAACTTGTCCATGCAAGTCAGCAGGTAAATAGTGGCATTCTCTTTTGTGATATTTTTCCTTCAACAAAAACAAGTAAATATTTTCAGTGTATCATTTTGTGTACTTGTGTCAGTAGAATCTCATTAATTTCTGTTGTCAAAACAGCTGATTTGTGTAATAAACTCAACCAAGAAATTAAAACAATCTGTTCCAGTAGAAAAGAATTAATTAGATGTAAAAACCACATAGGGTAAAACTGGAAATCACTATAAATTCAGCTCCTGTCAGGAAAATTAATGTAGCATTACATATTTGTCTGTTTTCATCTTCAGTTTGATTTGGAAGAAATTAGTGGAGATCTTACACTGTTACCTCCCTTGTCTGGTTGGCTGTGTGATTCAGTGTGCAAGAAAAACTATATAGCTAAGTATGTAACAGACTGTCATCATAATTAGATATTTACAGAAGGTAACATCATGTTAGCTTGATTCAGTTATGTAGTAGTCAACAAATAGCATTAGACAAAGTCAGGTTGTAGTCTGGATATTATCAGATACCAGATACCAGATTTCTTGTCAAAAAACTTAGGACCAGATACCCGGTAGGATATCTGAGGATATTTATCATAAACCAATGTTCTGTATTATATTATGGCATATGAGTAATAGCACTATTATAACAGCTTGTTTGAGGAGTTTTATTTACAGAGTATGTTTTTGTAAACATGAGTGAGAAATATAATCTTGCACTAGTGTGGGTATAATATGAAATTTGTATTGAACTTGTAAGATATTAGTTAATTAATGTACTAATTACTTGAACACAAGATTCTTAAGTAAAAATATTTCATCACTGTTTGAATTTATCTGATCTATATATTTATTTCACAATTTTATCATGAGACTTAACCAAAAAGATCCTGTTGGATTTTCAATGAAAGAATAATGGAAAAACTACCTTATTAAATTCTGTCTTCAGTAATGGTTCAAACTGTGGATATTTATGTAGAGTTACTGGATGCTTATATGTCAGTGTTTGTTGACAGACATTTCATCGGAGAGTTGACCAAGTGTGTGGAGTCTGAAGCTGTAAATGACCTACACAGTGTGCATGGTGCCATCCACTTGTTAGGGTCTGTCGCAAATTGTAAGTGTTTCATATTTTGTAAGTTTTAATTGATCTACACAGTTTGCATGGTGTCATCCATATCGCGGATCACAAATTGTCAGTGTGCAGGTAACACTGTTATGGATTGCTGTGACCTGATTGGCTGATATCTTGATAATTGCTATATTAATTTGAATTACAATAATATCTTCTGAACTGTTTTGGTTGGTTTGGGAGCCATATCAAAAGTTTACAATAGCCTGTTGCATCCTGGGATCGGGTCAACTTCTAGAACAACTGCCATGAGAATGGCTTTGTGTAACTTACAAGAAATAATATGGAAGTATAAGAATTTGGTCATTATACAAAGGCTTTCGCTAATATTGAACAGTACAGACACCAATAGAGATATTGTTAAGTAAACCATATGTAATGTCAGACCCTATATCGGTGCATAGACAAACTTTGAAAACTCTCAAGCCAAAAGAGTTTGATAATTGCTATTTTACGTTTTTGAAACACATCAATAAAATAAGGGATTATCTGTGTGTAGATAAAAGTATGTGTTGGAGGGAGGATGGAAGTGTAGGAGAATTAGATAAAAGTTTGTGTTGGAGGGAGGCTGGAAGTGTAGTGTAGATAAAAGTATGTGTTGGAGGGAGGATGGAAGTGTAGGAGAATTAGATAAAAGTATGTGTTGGAGGGAGGATGGAAGTGTAGGAGAATTAGATAAAAGTATGTGTTGGAGATGGAAGTGTAGAAGAGAGTAAAAGTGTGTTGGAGGGAGGATGGAAGTGTAGTGGGAGTGTAGATAAAAGTATGTGTTGGAGGGAGGATGGAAGTGTAGTGTTAGATAAAAGTATGTGTTGGATGTGTAGTGTTATGTGTTGGAGGGAGGATGGAAGTGTAGTGTAGATAAAAGTATGTGTTGGAGGGAGGATGGAAGTGTAGTGTAGATAAAAGTATGTGTTGGAGGGAGGATGGAAGTGTAGTTTAGATAAAAGTATGTGTTGGAGGGAGGATGGAAGTGTAGTGTAGATAAAAGTATGTGTTGGAGGGAGGAAGGAAGTGTAGGAGAATTAGATAAAAGTATGTGTTGGAGGGAGGATGGAAGTGTAGTGTAGATAAAAGTATGTGTTGGAGGGAGGATGGAAGTGTAGTGTAGATAAAAGTTTGTGTTGGAGGGAGGATGGAAGTGTAGTGTAGATAAAAGTATGTGTTGGAGGGAGGATGGAAGTGTAGGAGAATTAGATAAAAGTATGTGTTGGAGGGAGGATGGAAGTGTAGTGTAGATAAAAGTATGTGTTGGAGGGAGGATGGAAGTGTAGTGTAGATAAAAGTATGTGTTGGAGGGAGGATGGAAGTGTAGTGTAGATAAAAGTATGTGTTGGAGGGAGGATGGAAGTGTAGTGTAGATAAAAGTATGTGTTGGAGGGAGGATGGAAGTGTAGTGTAGATAAAAGTGTGTTGGAGGGAGGATGGAAGTGTAGATAAAAGTATGTGTTGGAGGGAAGTGATGGATGTGTTGGAAGTGTGTAGTGATAAAAGATAAAAGTATGTGTTGGAGGGAGGATGGAAGTGTAGGAGAATTAGATAAAAGTATGTGTTGGAGGGAGGATGGAAGTGTAGTGTAGATAAAAGTATGTGTTGGAGGGAGGATGGAAGTGTAGTGTAGATAAAAGTATGTGTTGGATGGAGGATGGAAGTGTAGGAGGATGGAAGTGTAGTGTAGATAAAAGTATGTGTTGGAGGGAGGATGGAAGTGTAGGAGAATTAGATAAAAGTATGTGTTGGAGGGAGGATGGAAGTGTAGAGTAGATCAAAGTATGTGTTGGAGGGAGGATGGAAGTGTAGATAAAAAAGTATGTGTTGGAGGGAGGATGGAAGTGTAGGAGAATTAGATAAAAGTATGTGTTGGAGGGAGGATGGAAGTGTAGTGTATATAAAAGTATGTGTTGGAGGGAGGATGGAAGTGTAGTGTAGATAAAAGTATGTGTTGGAGGGAGGATGGAAGTGTAGTGTAGATAAAAGTATGTGTTGGAGGGAGGATGGAAGTGTGGTGTAGATAAAAGTATGTGTTGGAGGGAGGATGGAAGTGTAGTGTAGATAAAAGTATGTGTTGGAGGGAGGATGGAAGTGTAGTGTAGATAAAAGTATGTGTTGGAGGGAGGATGGAAGTGTAGTGTAGATAAAAGTATGTGTTGGAGGGAGGATGGAAGTGTAGTGTAGATAAAAGTATGTGTTGGAGGGAGGATGGAAGTGTAGTGTAGATAAAATTATGTGTTGGAGGGAGGATGGAAGTGTTGGAGAATTAGATAAAAGTATGTGTTGGAGGGAGGATGGAAGTGTAGTGTAGATAAAAGTATGTGTTGGAGGGAGGATGGAAGTGTAGTGTAGATAAAAGTATGTGTTGGAGGGAGGATGGAAGTGTAGTGTAGATAAAAGTATGTGTTGGAGGGAGGATGGAAGTGTAGGAGTTTAGATAAAAGTATGTGTTGGTGGGTGGATGGAAGTGTTGGAGAATTAGATAAAAGTATGTGTTGGAGGGAGGATGGAAGTGTAGGAGAATTAGATAAAAGTATGTGTTGGAGGGAGGATGGAAGTGTAGTGTAGATAAAAGTATGTGTTGGAGGGAGGATGGAAGTGTAGTGTAGATAAAAGTATGTGTTGGAGGGAGGATGGAAGTGTAGTGTAGATAAAAGTATGTGTTGGAGGGAGGATGGAAGTGTAGTGTAGATAAAAGTATGTGTTGGAGGGAGGAGGATGGAAGTGTAGTGTAGATAAAAGTATGTGTTGGAGGGAGGATGGAAGTGAAGTGTAGATAAAAGTATGTGTTAGTGTCTAGTCTTCTATGATGGAAGTGTGGTGTAGATAAAAGTATGTGTTGGAGGGAGGATGGAAGTGTAGTGTAGATAAAAGTATGTGTTGGAGGGAGGATGGAAGTGTAGTGTAGATAAAAGTATGTGTTGGAGGGAGGATGGAAGTGTAGGAGAATTAGATAAAAGTATGTGTTGGAGGGAGGATGGAAGTGTAGTGTAGATAAAAGTATGTGTTGGAGGGAGGATGGAAGTGTAGTATAGATAAAAAAGTATGTGTTGGAGGGAGGATGGAAGTGTAGTGTAGATAAAAGTATGTGTTGGAGGGAGGATGGAAGTGTAGGAGAATTAGATAAAAGTATGTGTTGGAGGGAGGATGGAAGTGTAGGAGAATTAGATAAAAGTATGTGTTGGAGGGAGGATGGAAGTGTAGAATGAGATAAAAGTATGTGTTGGAGGGAGGATGGAAGTGTAGGAGAATTAGATAAAAGTATGTGTTGGAGGGAGGATGGAAGTGTAGGAGAATTAGATAAAAGTATGTGTTGGAGGGAGGATGGAAGTGTAGGAGAATTAGATAAAAGTATGTGTTGGAGGGAGGATGGAAGTGTAGTGTAGATAAAAGTATGTGTTGGAGGGAGGATGGAAGTGTAGGAGAATGGAAGTGTAGGAGAATTAGATAAAAGTATGTGTTGGAGGGAGGATGGAAGTGTGGTGTAGATAAAAGTATGTGTTGGAGGGAGGATGGAAGTGTAGTGTAGATAAAAGTATGTGTTGGAGGGAGGATGGAAGTGTAGGAGAATTAGATAAAAGTATGTGTTGGAGGGAGGATGGAAGTGTAGTGTAGATAAAAGTATGTGTTGGAGGGAGGATGGAAGTGTAGTGTAGATAAAAGTATGTGTTGGAGGGAGGATGGAAGTGTAGGAGAATTAGATAAAAGTATGTGTTGGAGGGAGGATGGAAGTGTAGTGTAGATAAAAGTATGTGTTGGAGGGAGGATGGAAGTGTAGTTTAGATAAAAGTATGTGTTGGAGGGAGGATGGAAGTGTAGTTTAGATAAAAGTATGTGTTGGAGGGAGGATGGAAGTGTAGGAGAATTAGATAAAAGTATGTGTTGGAGGGAGGATGGAAGTGTAGTGATAAAAGTATGTGTTGGAGATAGATAAAAGTATGTGTTGGAGGGAGGATGGAAGTGTAGTGTAGATAAAAGTATGTGTTGGAGGGAGGATGGAAGTGTAGTGTTGATAAAAGTATGTGTTGGAGGGAGGATGGAAGTGTAGTGTAGATAAAAGTATGTGTTGGAGGGAGGATGGAAGTGTAGTGTAGATAAAAGTATGTGTTGGAGGGAGGATGGAAGTGTAGTGTAGATAAAAGTATGTGTTGGAGGGAGGATTGAAGTGTAGTGTAGATAAAAGTATGTGTTGGAGGGAGGATGGAAGTGTAGGATAATTAGATAAAAGTATGTGTTGGAGGGAGGATGGAAGTGTAGTGGTAGATAAAAGTATGTGTTGGAGGGAGGATGGAAGTGTAGTGTAGATAAAAGTATGTGTTGGAGGGAGGATGGAAGTGTAGGAGATTTAGATAAAAGTATGTGTTGGAGGGAGGATGGAAGTGTAGGAGAATTAGATAAAAGTATGTGTTGGAGGGAGGATGGAAGTGTAGGAGAATTAGATAAAAGTATGTGTTGGAGGGAGGATGGAAGTGTAGTGTAGATTTAGATAAAAGTTTGTGTTGGAGGGAGGATGGAAGTGTAGGAGAATTAGATAAAAGTATGTGTTGGAGGGAGGATGGAAGTGTAGGAGAATTAGATAAAAGTATGTGTTGGAGGGAGGATGGAAGTGTAGGAGATTTAGATAAAAGTATGTGTTGGAGGGAGGATGGAAGTGTAGTGTAGATAAAAGTATGTGTTGGAGGGAGGATGGAAGTGTATGTGTTGGAGGGAGGATGGAAGTGTAGTGTAGATAAAAGTATGTGTTGGAGGGAGGATGGAAGTGTAGGAGAATTAGATAAAAGTATGTGTTGGAGGGAGGATGGAAGTGTAGGAGAATTAGATAAAAGTATGTGTTGGAGGGAGGATGGAAGTGTAGTGTAGATAAAAGTATGTGTTGGAGGGAGGATGGAAGTGTAAGTAGATGTATGTGTTGGAGGGAGGATGGAAGTGTAGTGAATTAGATAAAAGTATGTGTTGGAGGGAGGATGGAAGTGTTTGTGAATTAGATAAAAGTA